AGTTACAGAGCACACTGGATGTGACTGACAGCTGATGGCCCGAGGTATGGCGTGCGTTCGAGCGCTGGCCCAAGCGCTCGCATTGTTGACACGTGACATTTGTAACATTAACTTCTCATTAAAATATATCAAATAAAAAAAGGAATAATTTTTTAAGTGTTTTTATTGTGTCCTTAAAATTAGATCCTTACTGACTAAGAAGTTACTTCAGTAGTTCCTGAAACAAAGAAACAAAATGTCAGTTCCACCAAGAACAAACCACCATTGATTTAGTTGTAGGAGAGCTATGCACAAAGTAAGGATTGTCTGGCTGGCTTGACCAGAATGATTTCATAACATCACAGAACTATTGTTTCACTTTGTAAGTGAGGTTACTGGACATCCAATCCTTACCCCATAAGAGCATTTCAATTATTGTGGGTGGAATTTAGTTTTAACATGTTTTTTACAAACAATTAGGCATATGAAAATGAAGGATGTTGGTGTAATTAAAATTAAACATTACCCTTTAGAGTAATAATAACAAACAAATAGTACAATATTACAAACACCCAAATGTAGTAACACTTACTTAGCCAATATGCCATCCTTCTTGGTGAGCCTGACGATGCAGTCGTCTGACTCTCCCATGCGACGGATGGCTCCGCACACGACGTACATCTTGGAGGTGTCGGCGGCGCGGCCCGTGGCGGGGTCCACGTCCGCGATCACCAGCTGCACGGACGCGTGGTCCTTGGCGTGGATCAGACGGTTACTGGCCGAGCTGGAACAATACATGTCAAGCACTTAGTATAACTCACTCATCATGTAAGAGAATATTCATCATCAGCCTATAAGTGCCAACTGCTGAGAAAAGGCCCTTTTTGACTCCATCAGTTATTGAAGGCAGATTGGTGATTACAAATTTTTAATTAGAGAATAATGTCAATAATTTTATTTGAGAAGATTGTCAAGGAATTTCTTTGGTTTTCCTTATATGTAGATATTGAAATACACCTGAACATATTATTTATTAACATTCATATTCATTAGGTACTTAGGAATTAACCAAAATGTTTACAAATTGCTTGTCATGATTATTATGTGTGTAAACCAGTAAGACCTTGTGCTAATTAAATATAAATAAAAAACATGTCATCTCAAATCTGTAACAAAGAATACTGTTGATATTGGGGATCAACAGTATTCTGTTGTGAATATTAATGTTTTGTACACATACATGTCAGTATTGGGTTCTCAGAAACTAACCGGCAGTTGATTCCCATGGTTGATTGTATTATAATAAAAGAGCTATGGAGCTTTAACTTATTGTGTGAGACGGATAGAATAGTGATTTATAACCACAATGCTGTGAGAGGTTTAGCTGATAGTTAATCAGATAAAACCATGTAAACATTATTTTAAATATATAATAAAAAATATTAGTTATATTTGTTGAGTTTAGTAGGCGGAAACTGTAGTGCAGTTAACGTGGCGACTACTTATATTGAAAATCATAAATTCACCATATTGTTTAATACATGGAAGACTGTACTAGCATTGTATAGGAGCATGTCAACAAAACATATTTTTTGTGGAGAGTTATTGTAAAACGACTTGTTGTTGAAACAAGTCGCATAAATTCGTTGGCAAGTCGTCGTAAGTTGATCATGAACTTCATAATACCACTGATTATGCAGCTATGCACGAATAATGATCGTACTAGCATATTACACGTAAATTACAATAACATTACTCTATTAAGGACGCAAATTCCGCATGAACTAATAATGTCTAGCACACCGCGCAGCGTGCAATGTGGTCAACAATGTAAAATAACCTCAAAGCGCACTCACCATTTCCTCGGGCAGTACAAGTCAACGAATTCTCCGGCGTCGTTCTGCATGATGTATGTCTGAAACACAAAGAATTACGTGACCACGAGCGAATATTCAAGAAATATCACTATTTTATAATAATTTATTGCAAAATTCACGTACTATGCGCACTGGTCACGGATATGACAAGCGAAAGAAAGAAAAAAAAATAGTGTTGCCAGTTGCGAACATTGAGATAGAAAATATATAGAGGCGCCGTGTTACTATAGAAGTATACATGCTTATACAAATATGAGGGAAATATGAAACAAACTATGAAATATCATTTTTTCTCACTCTTTCTAAGGCAATAATTGTATTAGACAAAAGAGACAACAATATTTAAGTTGTTGCTTAATATGGAAACAAATCATTTTGACATTAGCAAAGTTGTAGGTAAGTGCCATGTCCGCCATCTTAAGCGCTCAGAGTACCTGAGTTTCATGGTAGTTGTCCTGTCAAACGGTTGTTTATGTTTTAAATTATTGCGGTTTTTCAGTAAATTACAAAGAACCATTTCTTTAAACTTCAAATATATATAGTGAAACAAAAAAACAATATGCCTGTGTGTTGTATTGTGCAGTGTGGTACAAAAAAGAACGAAAATCAACCTCAATTGTCTTTGTATAGGTTAGTAAACAGTTTTCATCAAATATTACTTAGAATAATCCACATAGATAGAAAAAAATGTCACGGATACTTTAATCTATTGCCAAAGTATATATATTTACTTTTATTTCTGTCTGTGAGACAGTTTTAGTAAAAAATTGTTGTTTACAATAATATGTCAATATGGCATAGTTACGTACCATTTCACAAAAGAATCGATATAATCTCCCATTTAAAATTCAACATATATTATATTAGAAAGTAAGACGTCAGTATTTTGGTATTGGTTTTAGTTACATAAGTAGAAGTTCAAATTATCATGTTTTATAACTATACGGGCGCGATTGACAGAGCGGCGTTGGCGACGATCCCAGTGCGACCACCAAGCGTAATAATAAAAAGTGAGATACATACAATAAGATTGACTTCACTACATATCTATTTTGTGCTAACGTAGTTTCGAAGATATCATCGCTTAATCAGACGCGCCGAAATTGTGCGCGAGCACTTCACAAATACCCACAGGTTTTCCACATATATAAAGATAAACATTTAACAAACACTATCTTTTTCTATTTCACCATTCCATTAAACGCTGTTCATAAACACAGTCCTATTTTTTTAAAAGACGCTTTACGTAGAATTATATGAATACAAATTCGACTTGAGAAAATCATTAGCCAATCAAGAGACCAAGTTAACCCCGGGTTCCGGGTTCTAGCTAGGCCGACGGCAAAGTAGGAACAGGAGTTGATTTTAGTCAGTAACGGTCTGTCCCGAAAAAGGCCGGAGATGACATTAGATGATTTCCCATAAAAAATACCATTAATCAGCTGGCTAATCCCTAAAACTATACCTACGTAGAACTTTTACTCAAATTATATCGATACTCGTTAAATACTTAGTCGGCACAACCCTAGCAACGGCAGCCATCTTATGCGACATTTTGGATTGTAGGTAGGCACCTTCTTTTCGTAGGTATTTCAAGTCCATATATTTCCTATGTCAATGGTTGCGAATAATCTGAATGTCACTAATGTCAATGACATTTGCTTATTTTAAGTTCAAAAGACTAGGTGCAATAAAAAAATCTTTAAATTCAATTTTGTGCAATTGTTATTTGAAGTAAATAATTAATTGTAATTATTTTTTATTTAAATATTTATCTCGGTTTTAAAATAATAAACTCTGTTTACTTATACGCAAAGTGACTAGATTTTTCATGAATATCTAAATTAGACGCATATGTACCTAGTCTATCCATAAATACTGTAACAAATAAAAAAAATACGTTTTCTATTGCAAATAACATTTATTACTTTTACAGTATGTAAGTTTAATACATAAATATAAAACAATTTAAAACATAAAAAGCTTATTCGAAGTGGTCTTCATTGGCTGCAATACAATCCTTTAAACGTTGAGGCCAGTTATCAATAGGAGCACGCACTCTTTCCATGGGAAAATTCTTCACTACCAATCGTATGGATTGTTTTAGGGAGTCCTTATCATGACGCAAGCCCTTATAATTTCTAAAAATAAGCCTAATATCGCCAATCCACCTTGAGCAATTAAGTGTGTTGATTAATGCTCAAACCTTCTCCGTGTCATAGGTAAGAGGCCTTTGCTCAGCAGTGGGCACTTATAGGCTGATGATGATGAAAACTCTTAAAACTAGGTACATCTCGCCCCGATTGAGCGGGATGAAGTTATTTGAGGACTTTCCCTTCACAAAACAAATGTCATTTTAGTAAAATAGTATCCTCACAGGGTCGAGGGCTCTTCTGTAGACCCTAACTCAGACACTAGTACTCGGCTACTGCATCCAAAATTGTCACAAGGCCAAACATGACACTAGGAGATTTCCAAATACTTCAATCACAAAGAAGACCTAAAGGGCAATGCAGAAACGGTAGCTAGTTTATTATACTCTTAGCACAGCGGCCAGAATGATGGATTATATCATCGGCCTTTATTATTGATTTCATTCATCCTCCATCATCAACTGATTTTATGTTCTAGCCAGGCAAATAGCGGTTAATAAGAAAAAACAACTACAACAACAAGTGTGGGAGAACCATGCTTCACGAATGGGTCGGCTACTCGGCTCGACCGGATTGATATCACCCCACCGCAGCGTGGTGGTTGTTTGTTATGTAAGTTAGGTTTACCCAATCCTTCCAATTCTCGTTCCACATTCCCTAATACTCAAATCTAAAGGCCGGCCACCACAGTTATAGTACCAGAGTTATAGTAATATTATAGGGTAGGGCTCTGGATTTGTGGGGCCTGGGGTAGTTGCTGGATATTTGGGATATGGCTGTGGAGTGGGAAATTCTAGGTTTGGTTCCGGAATTAGATTCCTGGTATTGCGTTTGCCGACCTATCACAATAACATCGATTGTTCTCTCCTCTCTGCTATAATATTCTCTTTTCCTCAAGTAATTATTTCACATCATTTGAGGAGTTCTGATGACAGACACGTGTACAATAAGGATCACAGGAGACAGGTGAGAGGAAATAAAACATGGCAACTGTTACGGCAAGTTAATTTATTACAATCGAGTCCATTACGAGTACATTGCATTATTTATTTAATTAATTCATTAGTCGGCACGCGGCGCGCCACGCCGGCCGCTTAGTATATTATATAACGTCCATCTTTGATAGACCTTATTTCTAACCGATTATATTTACACAATAAAAAACATACGAAACTATTTCGAACATAGCAACATGTTAGCGCTCAGTACATTTTGTACGCGGTGACTTCAAACTTTTCTTCCTTTGATTTAAAATCTAATAGACGCCACAGCTTCTTTAGCACGACAACAGTTTGTCCAATCACTGTACCTAGCTGTCCAAAATTGTACATCCAATAATGTGGCACCATATTGGACGAAATACGAGAGTTCCACTGGCGCCATCTGTTGAGCGAAATACGGTAGCTCACATTAAACTCTGTCTATGTGTGTAAGTACATTGCTACAAGACAGATGGCGTTACTTAAGTAAATCAGAATATACTACGATTAAGAAACACTACCGCGCGTTGTATGCGAGTAATGTTAGCGTGAGGCGTGGCGCGGGCCGCAAGTACACAATAACACAAGTTATTTCATTGACAATACAGTTCATTTTCGTTTACACCGGGCTCTCGGACACTGGGCGGCCGGGGCCGAGTGTCGGGCGCTGACTAGAGGGCGCGTGACGTCACGTCAGGGCGCGGGAGGCGCAGGCGCTGGGGGCGCGGGCGGCGAGGGGGGCGCGGGGGGCGCCGCGCGACGTCACTGCGCGTTCGCCAGCTCGTCCATGCGACACCTGCAACACACGGGGAGTTGGTAGAAGACATTGTGCCCACTGCTGACTGCAGGCGGCTGGACAAGGCTCGGTAGTGGGAATGTGGAAGGTAATGTACCTGACCGCCATCTCCGCCACCTCGAGGCTCGGGTAGTCGAGTTCCTTCACTAGGCACAGTACCGCAGACAGCAGGTTCGAGTTCTGGAACATGTAAACACGTTAGTATCTCCGCAAGCTACAAGTACAGTATGATGAAGGTGGTGGGTGTATGGTACCCTGGCGACGGGTCTCCGCGTGAAGCCGCGATGCTCCTGCATGACGGCGGAGGGGTAGTGGTAGGTGGTGTCCTTGTCTCGCGGCATATCTCTGTCCCTGTCGGGCCCGCGAGCGGCGCGCTCGTCCCAGGCCTCGCCGCTGCCGCGCTGCGACATCTGTCCGCACGACTCCGACCTGCCACACCATGCAACAATTACTACATGGAAATAAACCCGACAGACATGCAAACTATTCATTTTCATTTTCATTTTCTCGGAACGTAATTATCATGAGATACAGCAAACTTATAATCTAACTTACTGCCCCCACCTTTAATGACCCGATAAGCCCCACAAGAATCATGTTTTGTCCAAGTGTATTCCACCCTGAGCCCTTCATTCACACATCACATCATGACCCTATAAGTGCCCACTGCCGAGCAAAGGTCTCTTCTCACACGGTGAAGGTTTGAGCATTAATCACCACGCTTGCTCAAGGCAGATTGATTATTTCAAACTTGTTATTAGAAATTACAAGTCATAGTTTCCTAAAAACTCCTTCAGCGTTTAGCAGTGGTGTCTAAATAATAATAGAAAGTACATATAACTCGGAAAAAGTCACATTGGTACTTCCCAGGTTCCAAACGCGCACCCTCGCACATGAGAAGCGGGCCCTAACCTCCAGGTCACCACGACATCAATAATTAATTGGCTTGAGATTAGAGAGAGATAATAATTTTGAGCCCTTTATTTAGGGGCTACATGCAAGGTCACTGCTGACAATGAGCTGTGGTTGCTGTAATACCTGTCGTTCCGCTCGTAGTAGTTGTCCTGGTAGGGCGGGGACGCCACGCCGCTGGCCGGCGCCGGGTACCGGCACTCGCCGTTAGACCCGTACCCGTACTCCTGTACACACACACACACAAATATGAAGCCTACTAAGTAATATAAACGTGAAATTTTATAAGTACGGATGGATGTTTGTTACTCTTTTGAACGGATCTGAATGTAATTTGACACAAAGATAGATTATACTTTTAAATTCTAGGCCCAATCTTTCCTCCCCCCTCAATCCTCAAATCTGCTATCCTTAGTTCACTAATAACCCACAAGAGGCCTGCAGCTCATTTGTAGTACTTCCTTTGTTATTACAAGTGTTCATGGGCGGCGCTGATTGCTTACCATCAGGTAATCCGACTGCTCGTTTACCGACTTATGAGATAAAAAAATGTCAAGGTGCCGTTACACAATGAGTGAGTAGTATTTACCTTGACGCTGTGCATGGAGAGCGAGTGCCGCAGCGACCCCGCGTCTGGGGACCGCGCCTGCAACCATAATCCACCGAATCACTTACACGACCAAGTAGCACACAAACAGTAAATATTCGTTCGTATACATGTATTCTGAATCTGTACTCGGCTGTTCGGGTTCTTGTGGTGATAGGTAGTGTGATCTTGTGGTAATGGGTAGTGGATTCTTGTGGTAATGGGTAGTGCGTTCTTGTGGAAATGAGTAGCGGTTTCTTGTGGTAATGGGTAGTGGATTCTTATAGTATAGGAAGTGGATTCCTGTGGGAATGGGTATTTGGTAATGGTTAGTGGAGTTTTGTGATTATGGGTACTTGGTTCTAGTGGTAATGGATAGTGGGGTAATCTTGTGGTAATGGCTAGTTGGTTCTTGTGGTAATGGGAAGTAGGGGAGTGAAGTCTTGTTGTAGTGTGTAAATCGGATCTTGTGGTAATGGGTAATGTGGTCTTGTGATAACAAGGTATCAGGATTTTGTTTTAGTAAAGTAGCGATATACTCACGTCGTAGTGTGAGCGTGTCATGGCGGGGTGCTCGTAGCGCTCGTCCTCGTGCCGCGTCGGGGAGCCCGCCCACTGCGCATACAGTAGAAAGTACATTATATTGCGGGCGATACATGTATGTAAGTATACAGTGCAGAGTGCTGAGTTGGCTGTACTCTACTACTAAAGACATAAGGTGAGATTGTCTGCTTCTTTAATATGAATACTAATCTAACAAAATAAACATACAATAAGCCAGTAGTACTACACAATGGTATTTCTATCAAATTATGAACCGAAAGCAATCAGAACGAGACGGACATAGCCGATGATGATCCCAACCTGTTTGCCAAGTGTGGTGATTATAGTAAACTTACACCCGGTTTAGGAAAGGCTGATCAATGTTAAAATCAATTTTATCTCTTGTCAAGTCATCTGATTGGTTGACTGAATTACCAACAACCAATCAGATGACTTGACAAGAGATTTAACAGGAGATTAGTTAATTTTAGCGTTGGCAAGCCTTTCAGAAACTGGGCGTTAGTCTTAATAATTATTGTTATTATGCTGTTGCAGTTAGTACCACGAGTGTATTAATTTGTTAGTATAGCTGTATAGCATGCAAGAATATTGTACTAGGCACAAAGCTAGCAGTGTACGGAGCTGGACGGTGCGACCTAAGCAAGTTACAAATATGAGATAACCCGATAATTTTCTTAAGAAAACGATTTTCAAGTTGACTGTGATCCTTAACCTTATACCAGAGTACAGAACTACGCGAGAAAAAAATGTGTTTTTTGCAACGAAGATCCTTTTCACGCGTTGCGAAAACGGGTTAGACAGAAAAAATAAGACCAAAGGTTTTTTGTTTGAGAATTTTTAGTTTAAAAAAAAACGTTTTCTATTCTTTCTTTTCGATTTTCTCCTGTGTCGTGGGTGCGGTTACAAACATACAATTTTACATACACATGACACCCAGACTCGGAACAACAATTTGGGAGTCACACAAAGAGTTGTTCCGTGCGGGAATCGAACCCGCGAAACGTTGCACGGCAGCTAGTTGCCCAGCCACCGCACCAACCGTGCAGTTCTACTAGTTGTAGCTAGCGACACTTTTTGCTAAGTATCTGTCTCTCTCTTTCGTAGACAGATACATATTTTTATTTAATTACATTATATTTGTTTGTCAAATAATAAGAAAGGAGCTTCGTTCCAGCCGTGTGTCCCATGTCACCTCTCAAGTTTTTTTATTGTGACTACCGGCAATTAAATGCTGAGCCAAGTGTGGTGATTATGGCAAGTCTCCCGTCAATTCCCGATTAGTGTGAAGCTGTGTTTGTGTGGATGGCAGAGTGTTGAGGTAGAGTAGTACCTGGGCGTCCCGCGCGGGGTCGGCCGGCTCGGCGCCCGCCTCCGAGCTGTCGCTGCCCTGCGCCCAACGACAGTTAGTACACGGGGCATGCCGGACGTACATACGTACATACATACTATATTATTGTACACACACAGTAAAGCTCGCGCTGGATCCTCTTGGATGACAGATTTATAGAATACCAGATAATTTAATACCTTGTTTCAAAATACTGGGATTGTGTAATATTTATGACGATTTCGGTGTGTCGATTAACATAGTTGATTCTAGATAATTAGTGAGATCTATTGATCACATTCAGTATTTAGTTCAACAATAATAAAAGGATGAATAGGAGTGTGTTCCGAGTTTCATTCAAATCGGTTCAGTAATTTCCAAATTTTGACCTTGAAATGAGCAACGATATTAATTATCCATTATGCTATCAGATATAGAAACCCAGACACGAATGAATACATCCAGTAACAACCTTATTTCCTTAAGGAAATGAAAGACTATATGAAGTTTAATCTATACAATGGGCGAGAGAATCCAGCGCGAGGTTCACGTACAAATATTAACTTTTTCAAGCAATGGCCTTGTTATTTAACAATATGTATATCATAAAACAAGTATACATAATATACACATAATTTAATGTAGTAGCACAAACATGTAATACACACGCACACACACACATATAATATACAGTATACATGAGAAACTATACTTACATATATCAATCAATACAATGCAGATTAGTAAATAGAGATCTGCCTACACCCCACATGTGTAGGCAATCATAGCTCATAGTAAACCTACACAGTAAACAGACCAAAGTATTGACGAAAGCAATCTCTTTAAGGCATATAACCTAGTCCTTGACTGAAATCCCACCTGATGGTAAGCAGTGATGCAATCAATTAAGAGCCTATTCACTCTAGTCTTGAAAATACCTAAATCATAACTGATAAAATATGTTTCTTTATTAGACACACGATACTAGTTGAAGTGTCGAACAACAGATGGCAGCACTGGACTACATCACATCATTGCTAAACGGCACACTCTTTATCTATGGGGGTTAAGTATGAACAGATGGGATGCATCCACTATGTGTAGGTCATGCAGCATTACCATCTTTACTATCGATCATGTAATTAAAATCCCCATGTCAATTGCCAAGTGTGGGGATTATGTGGAAAGACAGTTTTATAGACCTATGTATGTATTTCGGTTGTTAATAGTGATGTTATGTATTGTGTAGTGTGTGTACCTCGTGCCTGGGCGGAGGTCGCGCGGAGTAGGTCTCTGGTTCTCGGTCCGGGCTGGACTCGCACGAGCGCTGGCGCCGGTACTGGCCGTAGCTCTCCTGCTGTAAGCACGCACCATGAGCAACTTAATAAAACGTAACATACATTCTTTTTTCAATTAAACTAAAGCTGAATAGTGGTTTTAAATCAACAAAATATAATGTAAAGCAGGCAGCCAACCTTGGGCATTACCACCACCGTGCCATTCAAGAGCAAGCATTTACTCAACGATTTTCTTAACTGAAATGTCTTTGACTTTGGGGGGGCTATCGTTTTTTGCTCAACAGATGGCGCCAGTGTAGACCCATCGGCTTTTTGTAACATTCCTATAACAAACGACCTGATAACCTTGAAGACTTGAACCAATTTCCACTAAAAATAGCTAAGAACACTCTCGACTGATATACATTTCAAACAAAAAAAATCGCATTAAAATCGGATCATCCGTTCGAGAGCTAAGATGCCACAAACAGATACATACACAAAAAGACACATCAAACTTATATAAAGCCGAGGGAATTATCTAATGCCACAACATTGAAGTTTGATTTTTGACAGCTATAGTGATTGGACTAACTTTTCTCTCCTTAGATTAGCGGCATCTAGTTAATGAAACAACGAAACACAGGATGCCCTCACCTGCTGCGGGTACCCCTCGTCGTCAGAGTCGGGGATGTGCAGGCCGAGCCGCATCGCCTCCTGCACCTGGGGACATCATACATGCTATATTACGAACATCTCATCATAACATCACAACAAAATTGACAAATCTGCCTTTTTTGTGGTGGGAATATGACTTCTCCCTCCCGTTAGTGTCAGACTCTTACTGACTAAAAAACCCCCCTGTTCCTTCTCCTGCTCTGTGCCGAGGCCGCGGTGCCTCATTGCGCTTACCCCGCAACCCCAGCTGAACATCAGCCCTATAGGGCCCCGTCTGTGGTGGTCTATTGGCTCTCTACGCGGAACTGCTCTGGCACTGGAGTAGCTAATTGTCCAAAGTGTAGACACTAGTAAGAGTTGTATCCTTCTCAAATCACTATTATGGGATCTACAACTATTATGGGTCTATCAGTTTGGGTGGTGTTAACTAAAGGTAAACAATGTTGGCATGTGTTTTTATATTAAAGAGCTCGTATAAAATACATGAAAGATTATTTCAATTCAGTTTATTAGCTAACATCGATTTAGGTAAATACCTGATTGTAAACATTTTCATATAATTACAATATAATATTATTATGATATTAATATTATTATTTTCATATAATCACATTTTCATATAAAAATACACGCCAACTCATGTCCTACATATAGTGGATTCATCCCATCTGTTCATACACATTTAGTTAAACCGATAGACCATAGCTTTCCCATTCAACATGATACTTGGTAGTCCCGAACGTAACTTGCGCGGTCGCTACCAAGAATCCGAACCAGAAGTACAATGAGTAAAAGTAGTCTACTAATTGTTTAGCTTGCGTATTCTTTGATGTTAAGCAATCGATGTACTACGAGTCTTTTAATAGTGAGGAAATTGAGGGTTGAGGGACTGTATTGTAACGACGTTACCTCATCAGGTTGGACGGGCACATTGTCGAGCTTCTCCAGGTTGGGCAGGTTCCGGAGCACGGTCATGCGGTAGTGTGGCTGCGTGGTGCAGGGGTTCTCGTCCAGCCAGAGGCTGGTGAGGTCGGGCAGGTGTCGCAGGTGCCGGATCTCGTGCAGGTCTCTGATCTCGTTCTTGCGCACGTACAGCTCGCGCAGTCGCCGGCAGCCCGCGAAGTCGCCCAGCGTGCGGATCTTGTTTATACTGGAATTATATAAATACAAGTTATAGTATAGATTTTCTACTTGAGTGAGTACAATAGTTTCGGGATTTCAAAAGTTGTAGTTTAGGTATACCTGTGTTAGGTAATAGACTTTAAAAAAAAATGAAAACGTTGCCCCACGCGAAGAATTTCTCGTGTCGTGAACATTCACATACCCAGACAATTTGCAGATCACTAACAGAGTTGTTCTGTGCGGGCATCGATCCCGCAAATGCCAGTTACACAGCCGCTGCGCCAACCGTGTACAGAACAATGGTACCAGGATTTGGAATTTCTCAGTTCGACGCGTAGTTTACTATTCGTGTTAGGCCAGATCCTAAATTTTTTTTTGTGTCGTGTTGGAAAATCCTCATGGAGACCCACCGCCCTCGGGTACCCGACCGCAGGACTCCACTATGAGGCGCGCGCGGAACACAGCACCACCACCTCGAGGCCTGCTGCTGGTCGGACGACTAGACGCCCCGAGTCCGTCGTCCGCAGGCCGCGTCCTACGGTGGCCGCAGGTCGGCCACTCTACGACGTCTAGTGCGTCTGCTGCGGGAGGGAAGAGAGGAGGCAGCCTCTCTCTCCCTTTCCGCCGCCTCCTTTGCGAGCATCACCGCCTCGCAAAAGGAAGCGACGGCACTCCACCCTGACTATTCTATGAGGCCGTGGTATCACTCTAGTCGAGCCGATCCATTCGTGCCGAAGCTTGGCTTTCTATTCTAACACTTATAAGTTTGTAACACAGTTCATAGCTGGAAATGTATTACAATGTCCAGTAAGATCGGGCGAGCTGGTGTCCGGTGCGCTTGAGCGGCATTGTGCAACAGTGGCGCCACGCTCTGGTTGCGGCGCCGCCGCCGCGCCGCCAGCTACACTTTACCCTCTATTTGTGACAATATTGTCCATTGTGCATTGTGTACGGTGGAGCTGCTTGTTGACACCCCGCGTCTCCGCTGTCGCAGGCATTCCGGTACTTTTTATGTGAGGGGACTAAAAATCCTCCCGTTCCTTCTCCTGCTCTGGGCCGAGGTCGCGGTGCCTCATTGCGCTTACCCCGCAACCCCGGCTGAAAAGTTTTAGACTCTTACGATCTTATTACAAAAGAAGGTTTTTCTTTAGTCTAGGTCTAAACCATTGAGGCAGTTTTTGTATTTAGAATTAAAGATAGGTGAGAATAAGATTCAAAACACAAAACGTGACTGAATGGCTTCAACTTAGACTAAAGATAAAACTTGTTTTGTAATAAGAGGGTTACTGACTAAACCTGCTCTAGGTCGAGGGCGCGGAGAACTTAGAACAATACAAATTTTTCAGATCCTTTGTTTCCCATACGACTGTTACAATGTTTTTATGGGATAGGTCGGCAAACAAGACATTATCTGATTATCAAGCAATTAACGCCGCCCATAGACACCCGCAACAACGGAGACGTTACGAGTGAGTTGCCGACCTTATGGAGATAAGGGTTGCGAATATTTAAGGATTAGGAAGAGATGGGGAAAGGACAAGGATTGGGCCCTGGCAACTTCATTTACAAGGCGAAACGACGCCGGTATTCCGTGAGGCCGTGGTATCACTTCGGTCGAGCCGACGCTTGATTCGATCACTTGACGTGTGTACCAGGTGTAACGTCGCCTAGTCCTCGTCTACTCGTGAGTGTAGTGACTGCAATGCGTGTCGTCACTAGATGCGTGCGCTCACGCACTGCGCACGCGCGTTGGCCACGGTACGAGGCCCAGAGATTTCTCTGCGAGAAACTGCAGCCCTACATAGCTACGCAGCGTACCTAGCTAGTACTTGGTCGCCGCCAATATAAGGGAATCTGCTGATCTTGACTGGCGAATATTCTGTAACCATAGAGGTCCTGCGCAAGCATGCAGCTGGTCTTAAATGATCGATAAATTTCCACATTACACAGCGCATCATCAGCATATAAGTGCCCACTGCATGAGCATCTTGGCAATTTTGCATTTTCTACTTATTTTTTTAATTACCTACCTAGGTTGGCAGACAAGCTGACGGATTAGATGATGGTAAGCAATCGGCGCTGCCCATAAACACCCGCAACAACAAAATAGTTATGAATGCATTGCCAGCCTTTAAGGGGGATAAATGTTTCAAATATTTAAGGAATTGGACCTCCCGAAACCTCACTCAGACGGCGAAACACAACGCTGTGGTTATTTCACGCCGCACATAATTGCTATACATTGAAGTTCAAAATATGTTAAAGAGATAGACAGGGATGGCTTGATGCTTTCGTCGGTATAAAGAACAATGCAACTCCAGACTGTAGCTAGTAAAGCTGTCTTGTAAAACCAATTACGTGGGTCTAAGTAGCACACAGTGAGGTGCGGCGCGGGGTGCCGGCAGACAGGTCACGACCTCGCCGTGTCCCTACTACCCCTTACACATTATCCCTGCGAAGCTTAGGGAAATTAATTATACTGAAGAGGCGTCTGATAGAACTAATCAGCTATCTAAACTATATGATGCTAGGTATAAGTGTAAGTGTGGGAGAGCAAAGCTTGGCCATGATACCACGACCTCAGAGAAAACCGGCGTGAAACAACCGCACGGCCGTGTTACATCTTGTGAGTGAGTCGTAAGTTTTTTGTGTCATTAACAAACACACAACACCAATTTGTGGATCACACAACAAGAGTTTTCTTGCGGGGAAATATTGCGGCAGCGGTTGCAATCAATTTGCTAATCATACTAACCGGAATGAGTAAAAAAAAACTAATAAAAAAATAAAAATAAAAATAACTAATGCAAAGAGCTCAATAAGAGTTTATTGAGGAGGGAAAAATCATCAAATGACTTCTCTCTCCGGAGAGGGATTGTCAGACTTGACTAAAAGCCCCTCGTTCCTTCTCCTGCTCTAGGCCGAGGTCGCGATGCCTCATTGCGCTTGCCCCGCAACCCCGGCTGAACATCAGCCCTATAGGGCCCCGTCTGTGGTGGTCTATTGGCTCTTTGAGGCGCGCGCGGAACGCTACGCGCCGTACGCTCAGGCCTGGTTCTGGTCGGGCGGCGAGCTGCCCTTACTCGCCGACCACAGACCCGCGCCTCTGCAGTATGTGCGAACTCGTACTGGCTGTAATGGCCGGTGCAGCAGTCAGCTTTCCCCGCGACCATACAATCAGTGTCAGCACTCTCCGCGTAATGGTCGGCTATTAGTGATCGATGGTTGCACCGCAACAACCAGTTAATTAACAATAAAAGGCCCTCGTCAAAGATGACGATAACGTCTTCCTCTTTATATTACATTTACAATTTGATATTGGGTCGTGGTGGCCTGGTGGTACCTACCAATGTGACTTTTTCCGTACTTTCTATGATTATTTAGACACCACTGACATACGCTAAAGAAAAACATCGTGAGGAAACCTGGACTTTCTAATTATAAGTTTAAAATCGCCAACCCGCATTTAGCATGCGTGATGATTAATGCTCAAACCTTCGCCGTCTGAGAAGAGGCCTTTGCTCGGTAGTGGGCACTTATAGGCTGATGAATTAGATACTCCTGTAGTCTCCCTACATCGTCTTACATAGTGTTGGTTGGAAACCTGGTGACCAATAAGCTCCATATCTTCCTAACTCGACAGTACCAGTATAATTATGCCTGGTGTCTGCAGCGAGTGTAGTGAGGTATGGCGGGCGCGGGCGCGGCCTCAGTCGCGCGGAACAGACGAGCTTCGAGCGCCATTTCGCACACGTTTTTATCGCTCACTTACTGTACTACACATCGACATTATTAGCAGTACCTTCGTGTGGTGAACCAGTTCAGCTACCTTTTTGTGAGGAAAAAATCACCAAATGTCTTCTCTCGTCCAGGGTGAGGCGAGAGGTAGTGTCAGACTCTTACTGACTAAAAGCCCCCCTGTTCCTTCTCTTGGCCAAGGTCGAGGTCGCGGTGCCACATTCCGCTTGCCCCCGAACCCCGGCTGAACATCAGCACTGCAAGGCCCCGTCTGTGGTGGTCTATTGGCTCTTTGAGGCGCGCGCGGAACGCTACGCGCCGTACGCTCGGGTCTGGTTCTGGTCGGGCGGCGAGCTACTCTAACTCAATCCCCAACGCCCGGAATGTTTCCTAATGCAGCGGCTGGGGTGTTAAAAGGAGGACAGTTCCCTCACGCGTTCCGCCTCCTTCCTTGCAGCTACCTACAGTACCTACCAAACCAGATGTGAGAGCAAATGCGTTTGTATTGTGTAATGTCCCAGAGGTCACCCACAACTCCAAGTCGTGTCGTTGTATCGAGGTGCCTTCAAGGGCGCGCCTCTGTCGTCGACACCGCCTGCGTCAGGGCCGGGCCTGAATAATACAGCCGGGGATAAACACTACAGTTGTACAAATAAAGGCGAATATATCGATCCAGGCACTAATCGTTGCCTTGCCCTAGCACACCAGGTACGGGTGCACTCGATCCTTCCAACTGTTACAGTAAATGTGTCCTTATGACTAATACTGTAAGGTTGTCCCTCACCTGAGCGCCAGCACCTCCACGTTGGGCATCCTGCGCAGCAGACTGACATCGACCAGCTCTGCTCCCCTGGAACCAAACAAACAGATATTGAATCAACTATCCTGTGCACACACCACAGACAACACTTATATGATAATGTTAACAGGAGAACATAAAACAGTCATTGAAAAGATAGAATGAAATAAAGTACATTATATAAGGACTGCAATAAGTTTCTAAGCCCCTCCTCCCCTCAAAAGCCATGAGTATAAATGTGGAGGGATGGAGAGGGAGAGGGAGAAAATATGGATGGATTGTGTAAGAAGTGATGTGGAAGACAGAGGAGTTAGAGATAGCGTGACAGGTGACAGGACAGAATGGAAGAAAAAAACATATTGCGCCGACCCCAAATAAAACGGGACAAGGGCAGGAAGATGATGAATAAGTTTCTACGCCCTTTAGAGTGTGGGTCTGTATGTAGGTACAAAACACACACGTCAATGAATCCTTGTGACTATTTCTATTCAAATGAGTACACAAGACTACACCAATGAACAGGATCCCTTTCAACAAGTAACTCAAAATGGCGTTCGTCCGGAATTGGAAGCTTTGATCTTGTGGAATTCGCACACATACAGTAATATGTAGTCTGGACTTATGGCTGTTATAGACATCTGACTGTAAATAACAATAAACGAGATGTTTACATTAGTAGCAACCTTTCACGCACACACTCAAACTTCACACATTCAAATTACGTTCATACAGTCTACTAGAAGAGGAACGCGAGGAACACAATTTTTTTATCTTTTTCTTTATTGACTACTAGCTGCTTTCGCGCGTTTTCACCCGCTGCTACAGATTCTACCCAGCGTGATGTCTTATAGCCTAAAGCCTTCCTCGATAAATATACTAACAAACATAAAAATTATGGTTTAATTCGAACCAGGAGTTTCGGAGATTAACGCGTTTTAACAAACAGAGTCAGCTTTATAATAATACTAGCTACTCTCGCGCGGTTCCACCCGCTGCTCAGCTCCATTTGATCGTAGTATAATGTTTTATATCACTCAGGAACATTGTAGCTATTTATGAGTGAAAGAATTTTGGCAATCCGACCAGCGGTTCCAAAGATTACACCCTACATACAAATTTACATATTTTACCTCTTTATAATATTAGTATAGATTATAAAATAGTATAGATTTGTTTCGCCGTGTGAGTGAGGTTACCGGAGGCCCAATCCTTCCCCTTCCCAATCCCTCCCCAGTTCCTAAATCTCCAAATCCCTAAGCCCTAAAAGGTCGGCAACGCACTCGTAACTCCTCCGTTGCGGGTGTCCATGGGCGGCGCTGATTGCTTACCATCAGGTAATCCGTTAGGCCGATTGCCGTCATCACATAAAAAATATACACAGACAGACACTCAAACCTGTCTCATTAAAAAACATAGCCAATTTTGTTTTTTCACACATTTTAACATACCTATACACGACGGTATGATATTTATTAATTTAGACATTGCCCACTGCTGAGCAAAGACCTCTTCTCATACGGAGAAGGTTAGAGCATTAATCACCACGCTTGCTCAATGCGGGTTGGCGATTTCAAACTTATAATTAGAAATTATAAGTCGAGGTTTCCTCACGATGTTTACCTTCACCGTATGTCAGTGGTGTCTAAATAATCATAAAAGTCACATTGGTACTTGCGAGGTTTCGAAGCCACACCCTCATGCATGAGAAGCGGGCTCCTTAACCTCCGGGCCACCACGACACCTTCGGTGGTGCGGGTGCCAATTCTGCTCGCTTGCCGTCCGACAACAAGACATCCCGGGGTAAATGGCGCGTCATACTTGTGTGGACAGCTCCGTGCGGGTGAGTGCACCGACTTGACATTAGCGTCACATATAGCGCGCCGGAGTACGTTGCGAAACAAATTCAACACTCGACAATACACTCTATGTCAACACACGTATGATTCAGTTTGTATCAGGCGAGATATAATCAGGTTATGATAGCGCCCACACGCATTGTTTATTGCTGTTCTATTGTTCAGTAATATTACATAGTTTGGTATTTGGTCAGAGGTTGCTCTCAAGTATCCAATCAAACCAAGGACATCCAATAAGTACTAAAACTCCTTTTTACTTTTTATATTGAAAATGACGACTTACTCGCATAATAATGAATTAACTATGTCTCACGATAGTTACTATTCAAAAATAAAAGTGCTAAGACGTTAAAATCGTTGCAAATGTCTTTTTTATGGAGTAGAAGGCAAACGAGCAGTCGGATCACCTGATGGTCAGCGATCGGCGCCGCCCATGGACACCTGCAGCATTAGAGGAGTCACAGGCGCGATACCGGCCTTTTAAGAAGGCGTTCGCTCGTTTCTCGGAGGTGGTGGTTTTTATTAATTTCATCATCAATCAATCAATCAAAAAATGTGATCAGCAAGTTCAGCAACCGAAAAAAGCACTAGCATCTTCTAACAGTCTGAAATTTAGCAGAAAAAGCGATAAATTGCTAAACTATAATTATTATTGACTGCACGGTGGTCACGGTAGCTGACAAACCGGCTAAGGTGCAAGATGTCGCGGGTTCCATTCCCACGACACAACTCTTTGTGTGATCCACAAATTGTGGTTCTGAGTCTGGGTGTGATGTGTATGTGACATTGTATGTTTGTAAACGCACCCACGACACACGAGTAAATCCTAGTATTAAAGAAAAACAAAGGTCTTTAGAGAAAAGATTTTTGATTCAGTACAATATTGACAAAAACTAATAACAACACCATTGTAAAGCAATAAAGAATTAGTTGAGCATACATTGCGGACTGCGTGGAGTAATAACGTTAGACTGCGGAACGGATGCGGCAGTGTAGCGCGGCGCGGGGTCATCGACAGGCGAAAGTGAAACGGCGTTGGAATGGCGAGTAGCGAGTACTCAGCGACTCAGTGGCTACTGGATACTCAGTGCAGTACCAGTGCGTACTGTGTAGTGGACTGACGGACTCGAGACCTACTGTACTGGGTGGTTATATGTATATGGTTAATATCTTATCTTATTTTGTGAGAGGAAAATCATTTAATGACTTAATGAAAATCATTTGATGGAGTGCCAGACTCTTACTTACTAAATCCCCCTCCCCTGTTCCTTCTCCTGCTCTGTGCCTCATTGCGCTTACCCCGCAACCCTGGCTAATTTGGTTAATAGCTAAGTGTGGGAGAGCCATGCTTCGGCACGAATGGGTCGGCTCGACCGGAGTGATACCACGGCCTCACAGAAAACCGGCGTGAAGTAACACTTACGTTGTGTTTCGCCGTAAGTATGAGGTTACAGAAAGCCCAATGAACTCCCACTATCATCAATCCTCACATCAGGATATCTCAGATGTCTTCCTCCTAGATATCTAGGAGGACAACATCTTGAAAAAATATAATTTCTAATTATAAATTTGAATCGCCAATCCTTCTTGAGCAAGCGATAGTAAACATTCTAAGTGTGAGAAGAGGCCTTTGCTCAGCAGTTTTCTTTTTTTTTATGGAATAGTTGGCAAACGAGCAGACGGATCACCTGATGGTAAGCGATCGGCGCTGCCCATGGACATCCGCAACACCAGAGGAGTCACAGGTGCGTTGCCGGCATTTTAAGAAGGAATACGCTCGTTTCTCGAAGGTTTGAAGGTCTTATCGGTTCGGGAATACCACCGCCGGAAGATCATTCCAAAGTTTTGCAGTGGGCACTTATGATGATGTGATTTATATGGGAGATTTTATGTCTATCTATGGTACGACTCCTTGAAAGATACATATAATCCAGACTCTAAGAATCACAGAAATATACTTAAACCACTACACCAGCTAACCTATCCCCTCTCCCCCTTCGTGTAGTACGGTGTGTAACGGTCACCACTCGACATGGAGTAAGCCGCGGAGTACTCGACTCAATTACTAGCAGGGTCGTTCGCCTCCGGTGACGGCGCGTAACATCGCGACAACCCTAGCGAGGCAGCTAATACAAATACAACCTTATTTCCTTTGGAACAAAACCGAAAATTTCATATCAGTTGTAGTGGTAACAAGTGCATTTGATTATAAACTTTGTTGTTTACAAGATAGGGTATAGAATCGAATGTGACGTGATCACGTGACGTTTGATCTTCTCGGTACAGTAGGGATCCGTGAAGTCGGTCCATTTGGAACCTGTCCAACTGTTGAATAATATCTTCAATCTGATAATATGGCGACATCGACAGGACAACAAATCACTGAGTAAACGACTGCTCTATTCCACTCGATACACATTTCACTAACTTCTCAAGGAACACACAACAATGTTTTCGATTTGACTGCACGGTTGGCGCAGTATCGCGGGTTCGATTCCCGAACGGAACAACTCTTTGTGTGATCCACAAATTATTGTTCCGGGTCGGGGTGTGATGTGTATGTGAAATTGTATGTTTGTAAACGCACTTACGACACATGAAAAAATCCTAGAGAGGGGCAACGTCTTTAAAAAAAATAACTATTAAGCTTTTAGTTGACACAACTGAATTTCTGGCCCAAAAATAGTAATAAGTATTGTTGATAATGAAGTCCAACTGATAATAAAGTCTAAACAACTAACAGACCTTTTAGTCCAGTATCGGAATCGAACGTGTAACAGTCTCATAGCTTGCAGATTGTCAAGAAGTATCTCCCGGTGACACACGACACTATTGATTTACCGGCTGAACGGTATAAAGTGCAAGATAACCCGATGCAGTTAATGAGCAGTTAAACCAATATATAATGACAATTGACATGCAACATTACACTATTACAGCTGCAACGAGTGGCCTTGCACGCAATGCTAGGTCGGCTCGGCCGAAGTGATGCCACGGCCTTAGAAAACAGGCGTGAAAAAACCACAGCGTTGTGTTTCGCCGTGTGTAAGAGGTTCCGGTAGACCCAATCCCGCCCCCCACCATCAATGCCCAAATCTCCTAACCTTAAATCTCTAACAACCAACAAAGGCACCGCACTTGATACTCTTTTAATGTTACTACAGTCCATGGAGCGGGCGCCAATTTTTTTTTTAT